GCATGGTTTCCAAGTTCAGCATCTTTTATTTTAAAGCCTGGTCACCAGAACTGAGCAGAGCAGTGGTTTGGCCACTACTTTAGGTAAGAAAAATGCAGCCTCTGTCTTCACAGTGAGTAGCCTGCTGTAGAAAAATAAGTATCTTACAGCATCCTTAGGACAAGTGGTAATAAATATCATTCACATATGAAAATGAAACCTAGCAATGCGATGGATTGAAAGTATGGGAAAAGAAAAAGGTATTTCAAAGAGTACAACTCTATATGGTTTTTTATCTTTAAGAACAGAAATTGAAGTGTACTAAAATGTCACATGAGAAATTATAATTAATCAGTGGACGTGTACAGACTTGAGTATTTATCACAGCATTTTTTTCAGTGGAACTATGACTTCTCTTCTGCCTCTTACTTACCTCACACTGTTACTGTTACACAGTGTGTTCTGAGCTTGGTTTTAATTTGCTTGAAATGCCTGTTTCTTTGTATATAAAATGCAATACCTATAAATTCAATGTTCCTAGAAAATATTGGTACTGTTGCTTGTTACAGGGAAAAAAAGAAAGACCTCATTTCTAGATTGTTATAATGTCTTATTACTAACTACAAGTTTTTCTGCTTATTAGCTACCAGTCCACAAACATCTCTGAATGCCATAGATGCATGTTGACTACTATTCAAAAATAGCTATTGAGTTTCCTTTTATTAATTTACCTGTTAGGATAGTTTCATCTCTTTTTCTGAAGTAATACCCTAAGTTTACCTTACAGACCTTCCTCTGTCCTAGTCGCTAATTTGTATGTTCCAGTGAGAGATTACGACTTCTTTTTGTTTCTGCACTGGACTTCTTTGAATGTGCCCCATTTCACCTCTGATTTGGTTTTGCAGACTCTCCTTTGTGCCTCAGTACATCCTTTAGCCCTGTTCCTCTGCAAACTTCTAGAAGCTGCTTCTCTGTTATATAGCTTATAGCTACAGCATCTAAATACCACAAATGAGATGACTACAGAGAGAACCCAACACATTCATCTTCTCTATGCTCATTTTTCCTTTGTTTGTTTCTTTCTTCCTCTTTCTCATGTGTACTTACCCCAAGATCATACCTACATTTTTACCTTTCCCCCCTCACTTCTCTTCCACTCCCATGGCAAGGTGATAGTAGAGAAGGTTACTCCTTCAGGAGTACTTTATTAAACTTGGTAGGCCCTAAATATCAGTCTAGGATGCTGTCTGGGCTCTTCTTAACCACAACTCTTTTGTGAACCTTTCCTGCTCCCTGAAGTGGAGAGCATCACCTCAGCTTTTATTTTGCAGTTGGTTTTGGCAGATAAACACACTTTTACCAAATGTAATCCAGTCACCCCAGGGACCTGAAGATTAGGAGAAAGACTTCAGAGAGGAGCTCATAGAGATATGGGGCTGCCGCTTCTCTCTGGAGAGAGTTGCTGCTGTGTTGTGCCTGTTCTGTGGTGGTTATTGCCTATCCCAGGTATCGTGCCTCATAGCTGTCAAGCACCAAGATGACAAAAGACTCGATTACAGTGATAAAGCATATAAAAAATGAAGAATCACAGAAATACTAAAAAGTGCATCTTACTTTTCATTTGAGGACCAGGCAGTAATTCAGCATGGCAGGACCCCGACTCACATGTTTTGCCGTATTTGTGGTACAGCAAAGCGAGTCGTGGTACAGCAAAGCGAGTCATGGACAGCATGCTTCTCAAACTGGCGAGCTTCTCAGCCGCATCTCTGATGTCTTCCTGATGCCTCCCTGTTCCTACTGACCCTGCCAAACCCCATGGCTTGAGCCTGGCAGAGCCTGTGGTGCTGCAGGTCGTGGACCCCCAGGCTGCAAACCATCTTCTTCAGCAACCAGCGCTGTCTGGCTCTGCAGTCTCATATGTCCTTAGTAGCACTGATTTGGCCTGATGATCTCCACTTGTGAAAGATTTAGGTGAAACAAACAGTATTCCCCATGACTCCTTGTCACTTATTGGAGATCAGTGGTGGGAGACAGACTATAGACAAAGTCAGTCTATGAAGGAGAGAGTACCTTATCTTTGTCTGAAACGGAGCCAAGAACAATGTGTCAATGTCCATATGTATTTAACTCTAAGGACTGACTCAGGATTTGTCTTGCTGAAGAGTAATTTTTGTAAGTTGAGGTATGGAAGTCGTTTTTCTTCAATGAAAGTAGCTGCGATCAGAAGGTGATTGGTAGCCCTGATGCTTTGCCTGTAGTTTTGCTACTTGTAGAACAGTTAATCCAATGCTTTGCTGAAGTCTCATGTAATGTTATGTTACCATGACACACATGCATACAAAAATAAAAGCACTGTTGTCAGGGTGGTGTAGCCAAATTATTACCACCCTGGTTTTCCAATATTCAATTAAAGAAGTTGTATTTTTAATGATTTAACTAAAGGTTTTAATGCCATTTTAAATAATGAAGAAAACAATAGACTAGTGATCATTTGCAAATTCACGTAAACAGGGTAGTATGAATTGAATAGATAGCACTGAAAATAGATTTGTCCTTCAGGTTCCGCTAGGGACAATGGTGAGAAAGGAGGAGAGGCTTTTGTAATGATGAGAACCGCTTTGATATTATTGCTTGAAATAGCTGCAAGCAGAAGCCATAGATAATAATAATCTTCAAACCGTAGAGGTTGAAAGCTCTGAGAAGCCAAGAAGGACTGCAGCTGCCTTGAGTGATGGTGGAACACAGCCATACAGTTGTGAATAGTTTATGCAGATGAAATATAATCACAGAGTCAAAATGTGCATTCATCAGGTTTGAGATCCAAGAAGCAGGTGGTACACATGTCTGTCTCAGGGGTTTGGAGGAGATCCCTGACATCAACCGTCTCAAAGTGATCATAGACTAAAGAAACAGTTTTGATATCTACAATTAGATAACACAAGAGGATCGTCACTTCAAACACAAAATTACTCCTTGTCTACAGTGTTCTCCAGACATTCAATGAGGCAGATTGTTCCTGTTTTAAAATAATGCCTCAGAACTCAATGCCACTTTTTTTTTGGAAGTGCTAAATGGAAGCTAATGAGAGAGAGGAAATGATTTCCAAGTTTTGAAACTGGCAACCATTACCAGAGGATCCATGAGCTTTTCAAAGCGATTTTTATGTACTTTAAATCGTGGCTTGTCAAGAACTGGGCAACCAAATGTGTAGAGAATGTGGCCAAAGTAGCGCACTGCTCCTGAATTATTTATGACCTCATAATAGTATTTACAGATCTCTTTATAAAAAAAAAAAATCTGCATTAAAAATTTCACTGATAACGTTTTGCTTCGGTATTCCTAGGAGAAAATGACCACTTTAATTACTAACATTTTAATAGCCCTGCAGTTTCAGTGATCACTTACTGACACCATAGCATGATGGGGTTTCTTAACTTCTGCTAGTCTTATGTACTGAAGAAACCACTACAGTTTTGCTGCCTCAAATTTGAGAGAAAAGAACATTTTAAGGAAGAAGAAACAGTAACGATATTGAATAAACAATCTTGTGACTTTTGAGACATTTGAATATTTTTCTACAGCAAATGAAAACATTAAAAACCATGTATATAAGTCTGGATCTGAAAACAGCTCTGATCCTTCTTGACTACAGAAGAATTTTATTGATGAATTAGCAGATTGTGTGATCAATTTTCTCTTTTCCATTCCTAAGAAATAATTGAATATATGCATATATTTATGGTAAAATGCAGCATTGATTCTAGAGAGCGTCAGCTGAGCAGCTGCCCTTCCAGTTTCCTTTTCAGTTGCCAAATTAAAAAATACTTAGCAGATACTGAGTCAGTGTAAAATGGTGAGCCCAGGCATTGATCCATCTTCTTTAAATCCTTCCATTATAAATTCTGTTATTAGAAATTAAAATCTTGGTATGCTGTTACTTCAGTCCGCTTTCCTTACCTGCCTGTTCATGCCAATCATTAGCTATTCACTGCATGTACCTGTAATGCTGCCTTTTTTTTTTCCATTTTTCATGTATTCCAGTTTGAAATGAGTAAAACTGCCAAAAGATTAAAGAAATGGGCTTCTTCATTATTTAAGTAATGATTGCCCATCACCAGTCAGACAAGTGAATTGGGATTCAGGTGACCACATGTCAATTTTGACATCTATATCTAAGATAGTCCTGCCAGGCTCCCTTTATAGAAATGGAGAGAAAAAAGCATTTTTAGGATGCAGTGTCATCCCAAATTAAGCTTCTAAAATAGATCAGATGATTTGCACCCTCAGAATTCTAGGTTTAGTTGATAGTGAATGAAAACAAGAACGACTAGCTTAGATGTTTGCTTTGTAGGTGTCCAAAGGTAGATGAGATGAATCCCATCCCTGTGCTCAAATTAATCATAAATTCCTAGAGGTTTTGTGTCATGACATTTCTAATGTGCATGTACTGTGGCTTTGTTTTTTGATGTAAAGGACATAGTGCCAGTCAGTGTTCTGCATAGATGAGCAAGTCCTGTTCAGCACAAGCACCAAAAGCAGTAGAGTCATGTTAGAGCTACATTTCAAATGGATTACATTACCCTGCTTTTCACCTTGGATAAGTAGTACCAGGGTGTTAGCATGTCCACATTCTTTCCAGAACAGATCAGTTTGGGGAACAGCATTAATACTCTGATTGTAGACATACAGAGGTGATGCTTAATATTTATATTGGAAGATAAAACGTAAAGCCTTGACCAGATTAGGCGCTGCTTTGCAAAGCAGCATGTATCATATTTCAGATCATAACAATACCTGGTTTTGACCCAGCAAGCTCACAAGGAGCTAGGTTATAAACAATGAAAAGGACAGAACCTGAATGGAAGTAGCATTATTTAGGAATGACACATGGCAAGGGTCTCTTGCATTAAAGAGGGTTGAAAAAGGCGACAGATGTTGAATGCTGAGACATTTTTTAGTTTCTGCAGTTAAGTTAGAACATTGCCTTAATGGTGATTTTTCCTGTGGGTTTTTCCCCTTAGGATGATTTCCAGCATGCAGCCTCAGAAACCAACTGGGAGTCAGTCACAAGCTCTGTCTCAGTAAGTAATTTGTTACTATTTTGCCGATGGATGGATTGATAGGATGACTTGAATCCAACTCACTAAAATGGCACCTGCACAGAAGAACTGTGTATTCACCTTTGGCAGAGGATGAAACAAGTCTTTATCCGACTCATACTGAAGTCAACCAGTGTGTTTTTAAGAAGAAGAGATTCAGGGTATGTCATCAGGTGTTGTAATCACATGAGATAGATAGCCATTGGGAAACATTTCTTGCTTTCAAACTCATCCTCCCAAGATGAAAATACAAGATATAAAGTCCTTACAATTTTCAATTGTAAAATGTCTTGACCTAAGCAGAAGGCTATACTCAAAACAGGGCGGCAGGAAAATAGATTCGGCTCTTCATTAACAATACTGAGATTTTTTTTAAGTGTATGTAATAAAATATTATATCTAAAGTCTATGTATTTAGCAGTGAAATGCAACTTGAGGGAAAAAAAAAAGGAAAAAAAATAATCCTGTATAAAATTTTATTTTTCTCTTCATTACATTTTATTTGTGTCATTGGCCAGAAATCTCTCTCCTCTTTCATTTCCCAGGTGAAGTTAAATGCTCGGGAATGGCAGTGTAGCATCAGAATTGGTAATACAGGCAGTCCTCTTCTGTGTGCTCTTCTGGCTGGTCAGCACAATGTCACAGCTCTTGCAAACTCCTCTTAAAACACATGAAACAAGGATAAGTGCTCAAAGCAGATTTGAGATCAATGTTTGGAGCATTCATGGATGAGAGTTTAGTGATGGCACCTTTGTTACAATAGCTGCCAGAAGTTGCCAGTGGAGGAGCAGTAAATAAAATATAGGTAAATTCTACTGATTAGTGTCCAAGCCAGGCAGGGAGTAGAGAGAAAATTCTGTATTGCCAAAATTAGAAGGCCTTAAATCAATCTGACTTGTGTTTACCCTTGAGTTTGCAAATGACACTTGCCCTTCATGATACGATGCATCGATAGCCTTGAACTAATTGTGCTGGAAGTCCTGAGTAGTAATGTTAGCAAGGCTGAGATCCGTTGGATGTGTCCAGCAGCAGATGTTAAAAGACTGTTTTACTGAAAGGCATAAACTTATTTTTCATGAGTTTCATTCTAATATAGGGTTGGAAAAAAATATATGTGACACAATATTTTGTTTAAAAATATGGTAGGCTGATGTTTGAAAACGTAAGTCTAGGACTCCCTCATCAGGTAATTATGAAAATGAGATCGAGTGTATGGTAAACACCATGTTAGTTCTCCTTAACATTGTACTGCGCACAGTATGCCAAATAATCCAGTATTTGTTTTATATTGGAAAATATAAAGTTTATTTATCTTTCACATCTATTTGTTTCTGAAAAGTCGTTGCTAATGTGTTATAGGTAGGGAAGTTCAGTACAAATATTAGAGGCAGCAAGCTGATGCCCAAGGTTACTTGGAAATCTACAGCTAAACCAGAAGCAGAACCCCAGTTTCATTGGTTTTCCCGTGCCATTCCCTATCTAATAAAACATACCTTCGTCCACTGGGCATGCAGTGCACCCACTACCCCTTTCCTATCCTCTGGAAAAATAATGTAGAGAGGTTGAGTAATTTTTCCAAAAGGCACCAAGGAGAAAGTCTGAGGACATCTGAATTATTCACGAGAGAAAGGTTCAGGGATTCTGCTGTAGTCCTGAGGAGCAGAAGAACAAACTCAGACCTGTCAGTTGCCGACAAGTTCTACTGATACTCAGTTAGCATGGCAGATCTGAGTTTTGCTCCTCAAACCCACAGGCAACCCAAAGACTCATTTTAGGATGTGGATACATTGCAACTCTCAGAATGAAAATTTGAGAGTGAGCAAATTCTTTCTTCCTTGTCTGAGGTCATATCACAGAGTCATGTTTTGGGTTGTTTTTTTTTTCTCGGAAAGCTAAACCAAATACTTCTGCCTTTAACCCAGCATGGCAAACTCAGAAAAAAAAAAAAAGGGAAAAAAATTTACTCTTATTTGGTTAGTTTCCATTATTTGTGAAGTAAGGTTATGACCAACTGTGATGAACATTGAACAGCCTTTCAGCTTCACAATACAGCTAGAAAATAGAAAAGCATGGGGGAACAGAAATTAAGAGTAAGAAAGAGCACTGAGAAAAAAGATACCTTTGCGTCCCATGAAATTAAAAATGCATTCAGTGCTTTTAAGAACCATAAAAGAGGTACCTAATATGGACAGTTTCTATTCTTCATTGTTTCTTGCATTTCACTCTTCCTCTTGCCCTCTCTTTGGATAGGATCTGAGAAACCAGATTACGAGGCGCACAAGCTCTTCTAAAGCTAGTACCTCGTTCTTGGCAGGACAAAAGAGAGGCAGTTGGGTTGGCAGCTTTGAAGTTGCTTTTGGGCCTGTCACATGATGTCGCTGCCAGTAGGTTATCTGAGCTGTTGAAATAATTCCTCTTGACTTGGCTGTTACTGAGAAAAAGTTAAGCTTTCTTCTGTGTGTGAACAAGGTTGCACAAATCGCTCGAGTAGGAGATTTTATATGAAAAGAAAATGGGGAATCCCTGCGGCCTGCATGAGTGTGAAACGCCCTGCAAATTCACAGCCTGACCTGCAGTTCTGTAATGAAGTGCACAGCTGGACACGCAAAAGAAACTCTTGTATGGTCCAAGCTCCACACCTGTGGCCTGATTTTGATGCTGCTGTTTGTTCAGCATCCCTGCAGCATCTCCCTCACTTTTGAAAGGCGATCAGGGACTGATGTTTCCCTGCTGGGCTGCAGTCACAGCTGAGCCATCAGCTGCACTGAGCTCTCCTCAGTAAGCAAGTAGTATTTGGGCACGTTTTTCTTTTTTAACCTCAAAGACTGCACTAGCACACAGCACGGTCCCTCCTGCAGCATTGTTTTGGAGAACAGCGCTGCGTTCACTTTGCTGGTGTGAGCTTTTCAGCTCCTGGGGCTCCTGTCCCTCTGACGGTCTCTATTCCAAGCCACTTAGAAGTCAGGAGAGGTGCTTTGAGGTATGCCTTCCCCTTTAGTGGGTCATGAATTTTTACAGCCGTCTGCACTATGTCTTATTTAGCACTGCGTTGTAGAGGCATTGCAGTCACAAGTGGGCCCTCTGAAACTTCTTGTGCTGTTGGTGATGAGCAGTAAAGGGCAGCTATGCTTTCTTGACTACACTATTGTAATGTTTTCTATTTCTTCTCTTTCTTGGTTTTAATAATTTGGACTGTCCATACTTTCAGCAAACATATGCCATAAAATATCAAGGCTTGTTAGTTTTGTGTTATAACTTACCATTAAAGGCAAATGTTTTATTTTAAAAGACATATATACTTTAAAACTATTTTAGTAAGCATTGAAGGACACATCCTGCAAATAAGTGAGTAACTTTACTCAAATGAGTTGACCTTTCCATTACTACCCAACTGAGTGAAGTTAATCACAAGGATAAGTAGTTTAACGTATGCATTTACTTGGGAGATGAGGCAAAAAATTATTTTGGGAGTCATTAATTTTAAAATGGCATATTTCTGCTATATTACTTCAGAGCTGTGTTTTCATGAGAGAAGGAGGTTTCTAGGGTATTTTCCCAATGTTTTAATTTACAAGACCCAAATCCAAACAACTCTTGTGCTATATTATGCTTCTTGTTGGACAAAATTGGGTATTTTGATTGTGTTCCTTCGGAAAGTATCAGATCTGCATTAATAGTTTTTCTTGCGTACGTTTTACACGTTATTGGGCTTTGTGCTTGGTCAAGGGAAGAGTGATATCAGGGTAATGAATATTGTGATTCTAAATAACAATTATTAAAAACATTTAAAGTAAAAATGAAATTGCTGCGATCTTTCTGTCAAAGTCACATTTTGCCACAAGTTCAGTGAGAACCAAATACACTCAGAGAATGGGACTTGGCCATTCCTGGTGGGAAATAGTATTCCATGTGGTATTATGAGGTAATTGTGAGGATATCACTATGTTGATAATCCCAATATTCATTGTTACATTGCTGAGATCCAAGTATCACATTGTTTCTTGTTTGCTTAGTAACTTGTATTTTTGGTAAAAGGAGGGGGCGGGGATTGGCATTCATCAGTGTTCCGTAGTACATTTAATTCTTGGGAATAAAGGGCCATCTTTTCAAGTCTTTAACCAAGCCAAACCTGTTGTCCAAATTGACCAGGGAAAGAAAACTTGTTGCCTTTGCCTTTCTCTGCTGTGTTTTCTGCTCTGCCTATGGCTTTACCAACAGAGCTGGCCGAGCTGTGAAGGCACCACCCCAGCACTACACGGCACCTCTGTTCTGTGGTCATGGCCACCACAGTGGTATCAAAAGACATTTCCATTATATCTTCGTGTATGTGCAAACCATCGTCCCCTTCAAGGAGCGGATGTGCATGTTGACAGTCCAGCAGTGGCAGTACTTCTGCTCCCTGCATCTTCTCTGGGATTTGCTTGGGAGTTCCTTGGTATCTCTTCCCCTTGCAAAAAGAAAACACAGGCATAACAAAGCCTGGCCCAGCTAGGGACTTCAAAAGATGGCCTGAAGTAGCTGTTTCAGTCACTAATAAAACAAGTTTATCAGTAACTGTTTCAGTTGTTTTAAGTGGTGCTGTAATTTATTCCAAGTACAATGAGATGTATGTCACTCTTAGGGGGTATCCTATCCCTCTCCATCAGTGACTGACCCTACGCTCACAGCGGAAGCACTGGATCAGACCATTGCTGCATTTGACACAGTGGAGGATCTGCTCAAACACTTCAACCCAGAGTCCTGGCAAGAAGATCTAGAGAATTTGTACACGGACAGTGGCCACCATTATCGAGGCAGGAGCTATCATGACAGGAAGTCCAAAGGTAGGAAAAGACACTATATACATACTTTGGGGCAAGACCAGGATATTCCTTCACTCCTCATAGAAATATCAGATATTAGATTCCTATTGGGAGTCACAGGGCAAGGTACCACCTATTAAAACCAGGGATAAGTCATTTAATCCTTTATCATTTTCTGACTGAGTAGAATCTCACCTGAGAAATCAGGCTGAAAACTGCCCATCATTATGATAAATTCACAAATAAAAGCATAGGCCCATGCGTAAAGGACAGATGGTTCTCAGCTTCACCCTCTTAAACATTGCTTTATGTGTAAGGCATGGGGGCTCCTAATTACCTGCACTATCATCCTTCTTTAAATACCCTGCTTAGGGATTGTTCTCTGTTGAGTGAGGAATAATTACTTTTATCACATTGTGCTTAGGGAAGCATCTGGTACAGACACCTGTATGTGCAGCTGGGTTTTTAGGATGCAAACATCTCACTGTTTTTCATTATGTTGGTGGGGAACATTATGGTTTAACATCTTTGTCTGTAATTGAGCAAAGCACACATTTCTGGGTTATGTTTCTTGTTTCCTTCTGTTAGTTCAAATCATCCACCAAATGGTAAAGGAAAGGAATGTTAAGCTAACAGTGCAAACCCATAATGATAAAGAAACGCTGTTTAGCAGAGACAGTTGTGCTCTGGGGTAACCATGCACTGAAGGGCCTGATAAAATTGCCCTTTATTTGCAAGTACAGATCTAGGAGGTCTGTTAAGGTTCTCCAAGATGACAATTGCTATAGTTTTCACAGAAGATCTGGAGTGAAATATATTATTTGAGTTCTCTTGTTAATATTATCTTCCATTTCCCAGTTGCGTATTCATATACATTCTTCTTTATAACTTTAAAATTATAATCACAGTTCTGATTCTGTGCAGTCTACCATTTGTTTACATCTCAGATCCCATCCCCTCTATGTTGAACATGTGCTAAGCAGGGAGAGAGGATTTTAATTATATGTTTGTAACTTACTTGCTATCAAATTATGAGGCTTTGATCTTAAAAAGGATTGTCGTGGTTTTAGGCTGATCCAGCAACTAAAACTCACACAGTCTCTCCTTCTCCAGTAAAGTAGAGAGGAGAGAAAAAAAACCCCAAGGAACTGAGGGTTGAGACAAGAACAGAGG